ATAGGTTCTCCTTACGTCTATCAGGAGGCCCTTGGGTAGATGTGACACAGGATTAGACTATTTTGGCCCAAGGCTTCCTTTCCTGTTGACCAGCTCTTTCCCTCTGATTCTATCTATCTCTTAGGGCTCAGAGAGCATCTGACTCAAGGTTCAGAAACAACTGTTACTGGGACACACAGTGATGGACGTTCATCTGTACATCTTTCCAAGCTAGGGTTCACTGTAACTGCCTGATTCGAGGTCACTCAAGTATATGTATGTATTCTGGACATTTTGTCCCCACAGGTAACAGATTCTGCCAAAGAGGATCTTAGTTGCATATGCTAAAGTTTGAAAAATGGATCTATATATTTGGAAGGTAGCAAAATAAAGAGCAGATGTTTTTAGAGATCAACAAGGTAATTAATACTGTAGCATGAATTTAGTTATCTATGCTTAGCTAGCTAGAGCTTTGTGGGCTTTGCTGTGAGCAGCTTCTACTGGTGCAGGGGAGGAAGGAGTTCCTGTCATTTCTTCCTGCTCAGTGACATCAGTTGTTCGTTCATGAGTGTCTTTAAAAGGTGAGTGTGCTAATATAATTTAAGTAGCCAACCTGATATTACAGAGTGTTACCAACCTGCTTCTAGCCTCAGAAAAGACAGATACACGTGTCTCCCTTATCACTGATGAATGATATTGAAGGTCAGAAGGACTGGGGTGTCTCAGACACAGAGAGAATAGGATAAGCCATCTTTCTACCCAGTATTTACAGGATCTACAAGACATAGGAAAAAATATCATTGAATTGAAAAATATATTTAAAAAATTACAGGAATCTGTAATGAAGAGCAGGTGTGTTACCAAAGGATAGAGGAATCCTTACTAGATATCCAACATGACAGGTTTAGTTAGTGGGCATTGGCCCATTTCTCAGGGAAGAAGCAGAGGGGGCATGGGATATATGTGGAGCAGTTTGTTTAATGACAAGGAATATTCATTTCACCCATAGGTCAAGAAGACTAGAAAGTCAAGGACACTTGTGTTTAATCCCAGCTCCACGGGAGAACTTTGGATCCCACCGGAGAGCACATGGTGTGAAAGGGGCAAGGTCACACATTCAACTTCCTTCCTTGTTTGCTATTTTGTGTTCTTCCCAATAACCTCTTCGTATTTCTCAGTTAATCCTATTAAAAAAATCAGTATCAGTGAACTGCAAAGTCCACCTTCAAGGAATTATGCATTTATATCCTTACATTGAAACTTCCATTTTTTTTTCCATTTTGATTTGATTTTCAGATTTTGTGTAATTTGGGTCAGGGTGGGATTCCCCTCTGTATGCTATGAATGTGTTTTATTACCATTGGTTATTTAAAAAGCTGTTGGCCAATGGTTTAGTAGAGTAAAGGCATGTGAGAAATTCAAACAGAGATATAGAAAGAAAATAGGTGGAATCAGAGAGACACCATGTGGCTGCCAAAGGAGACAGATGCCAGGCCCTTACCAGTAAGCCACAACCTCGTGCTAATACACAGATTAATAGAAATGGGTTAATTTAAGATGTAAGAGTTAGTTAATAAGAAACCTGAGGTAATAGGCCAAACAGTGTTGTAATTAATATAGTTTCAGTGTGATTATTAGGGTCTGGGTGGCCAGGAAACTTATGAACAATCTCCAACTACAAGTTTACAGGAACTAGTTAGTACCAAATGAAGCACTCAAGTCCATCACACAAAGAATCAACCTCCAGGGCCAATGATTTCCTGTATTTGTGTTCAGAGAACTCATTAGAGTTCTAATGGGAAATTTTGTTTGTCATTGATGAGGGGAAAGTTCCTACTGAGGCAGGAACCATTGTCTCATTAAGGGAGACACTCTATGCTACCATTGTACTTGGTCTCTATCAACAAAATCATCACTCTGTGTTTTGTGTTCAGTCAGCGTCATTCTTATAGTTAGTTAGACCCTATAAATGTTATCAGAACACTGCCCATTAGGATGGCACTGTATCTGATGCTTCACATGAAATAAGGAAGTCATGGACCTCCACAGATAAGGGGCCTTATAAATTCCTTTATATGAATAAGAAACACAGAACTGGTGACTGTGGGTCTACGCCTACTCAAATCACACTTACTAGAATAAACACAGTAATGCTCTGAAGAGAATGGATATACATATATAAAATATGGGTGGATAGATGAAAGTGCCAGACCTGTTGTATATGAATTTTCAGTCATTCTGTGGGAACACAGACTCCAGTAGGACTGGTAGAAACAAGTATGGCTGCTTCTTTAAGAATCACTCATATGACCTAACCTGCTCTCTGGACAGCATGGATAAATGACAACTGTTATTAAGGAGACTTTAAGTGCACAAATATTCTAGACACTGTGCATATCAGTCTAAATTCATGACAAATTAATATCAGTTAAAGACTATATAAATGAAATATATATTCATATTAAAAATATTTTACATATAAAAAGAGGTGTTGATAAATGCCTCAGTATTTTTGTTTTCAAATTATTAAATCCAATGGAAAAAAATCAATACATATAATGAAATATTGCATCATTTTAATTTTATGTAGGTAGCTTATAATGTTATAGCAAGATATTCATGAGATAATAGCTTTCATCTCAGAGTGAATATTCCAATGATTTTTGTCATATTTGAAAGGTTATATATACTTCCACTGATGATATCTGGATGCACAATATTTCCACTCATTTTAAAGATGCCTCATATTTTTCTCCACAATCCTTCTATGTCCATTTTCATAATCTGTATCTTACCTTATTGATTTTTGTGTTCTCAAAATCATGATTAGAGAAAATCACCCTTGGAGTCTTGTTCTGATCAGCGGAGGACAAGATGAAGATATTTGTAATGAAGATAAAGGTGCATATAAACCGTCATGGGCTTGCTCCAGGAGGAGGCAAGCCCCATTGGTGATGCCGTGGCACATGTACCATCATTGTGCTGATCCAGGAGGAGGCAAGCCCCATTGGTGAGAACGTGACATGTGTACTGTCACGGGGCTGCTCCAGCAGGAGGCGAGCCCCATTGGTGAGGACGTGATACATGTACCGTCATGGGGCTGCTCCAGCAGGAGGCAAGCCTCACTGGTGGAGGATGTGACAGTCAAGGAAATTAAAACATTGATGGAAATTATTCCTGATACGTTGTTTTGGTGGGGGTAAGGGATGTAATATGAACAACACTGAAATGACCCGTCCTATCCTAAGCAATTTACACATATTCCTCTTGTTGTTTCATAACAACTCTATGGCAGTGGTTCACAGCCTTCAGTGGATGTCAGGATAGTCCTAGAGTCTACAGCAAATATCAGTGACTGTCACAACATGCACAGGACCTAGAGCTCAACCAGACAAAATCCCAGCATGAAAAAAAGAAAATATGCAAAAAAGCCCCATTGCTAGTCAAGAAGTTGTTCACAAGTAATAGCTGATTGGAGAGTGGGAATCAGATTTCTCTAATGGCATGGCACTGGGTGGATCACACACAGTCTAAGGCAGGCTGCATGCTCAGGAGTAGCTGGCCAACATTAATCAGACTCTATGTTTTTAGTGGCCTTACTTGCCTTTCACTGAGTGAGAAAAAGAAAATGAAATTGCATTGGTAGATAGAAAGAGGGACCTGGGCGGAGCTAGGCAGTGGGAAAGATTGTGATAAAAAATTATACTCTGTGATACTCACAGAGAATGAATTAAAAAATAAATAAGGAAGTCTGAAAAGTGAAACAAGCAGAAGCTAAGCAGAGCACAAAGGACAGTGGGTAAAACGCAAGAGCTGATGCCTCTTACTGGTGCTTTTCAATTTCTCTAAAAAAAAAATGTTGTGACTAAAAATTATTCTTCACTATCTGTTCTACGTTTAGCAATTTCTTAGGTAGTGTACAGTACAGAGTAAACAGGAATCGTATATATCTTCCCTGATCTGAGGAAGCCACCAAATGCAAGAATCAATGGATAGACCAAATAAGGTGACTTTATATATACCATGAGAGATTATTGAACCTGAGAATTTGAAAACAATGAGATGGTAATTATTTGGGGGGTAATATATCTCTTGATGGTTCCACTTTTAATACTGGTGCCATGGAAACTACGTTTCATCAGGACTCTTATGAGGAAAAACATTCAGCCAAAAGCAGTAGCTGAATATCTACACTGACAAAAAGAAATGGTGCGTGCTAAGGTAGAGAGAGGGAGGGAGAGAAGAGGATTAGTGTTAAGTGTCCAGAGCTACTGTAAAGAGGAAATCCTTCTGGATATCTTTTTGTGGTGTTTATTAAACAATGTGTGTGCCCCTAAGGCCACCAGGATGTGTCCTGAAAATGATAAACATAGGAACTTCCAGTTGTGTGTTACCACAATGAAGAGTGATAGGCAAGATGGCACTGCTAGATTGCCATTCAATTTAACCTCCAGGAGAAAAGCCAAGTTTCATGAGACCCCTCACAGCACGCTCATTCATACTCCCTCTTATGGCTCAGCCTTGAACATCACTTTCCTCATTGCGGGTCACTGTCTCCTAAAGATTCTTGTGAGATCCAACTGTGTTGCACACTGACACACAGAGCCAGAGCATCCCGGGGTCTGTGTTCTCACAGCATCCAACCATAGCTATGGACTAAACACAAAACAGATTGCATCAACTAACCTTACACCGGGGATGGCAACTAAAGGCTCCCATTCTCAACGGGGAAAGTACTACACCACACAGCTTTTCCAGAAGCACAGTCAGCAAGCAATATGTCAGACATGATGTGATCCAAGGCCTATAGGATGGCTATCTGACTTCCTTTGACAAGATCAAGAATTTCAGATCCCTGCTAACAACTGAGACACCCCAGGCTCAACCTTCCAGCATCAGGCTGAAATCATATCTCAGGAAGAACCTAAATCCCAGTGCCTGGAGGCCTTATCCAATCATCAACACAGCCAATCAGTGTACGGTATGATTGAGGGGTGGGGCCAACTGTTCACATACTTGGGAATAAAGCCTGAGTGAGGTGTCCTGGGTCCTCAGAAACCTCTGAGGAGTTGAGTCTGCGGGTGGACTGAAGCAGAAGAATTAACCACAGGTGAGGCTCTGTCTGTGCCAAGGCAGAATGGGAAATGATTCTGGAGGGGAGCCTTGAGAGACTCCATGGAGAATCAGGCAGAACCCAAAGAAGGAGAACATATTCTAAGGCTCAGCATCCTACTGTGTGTAGGTAGAGGGAAAGGGGTGGAAAAGGCATAGAAGAATCCAGGCCTTTTGGCTCCCTGGTCCAGGTTTGTATAGGTTCCCTGTAAGTAGAAGTCTGGGTCTGTCCACAGAGAGTGCTAGAAGTTACCATGCAAGCCAGTAGCCTGGGTGATAGAGATTGTTTCTTGCCTATAATCTTTGGGTAAATTGGTTCTCACTCGACCTGTACAGATGTGGTAGAATGATGCATGGCCCCATCCAGGTCCTATGGGAAGTATTGCTTTAGAGACCCAGAAAGTCCTGAACCAGAAATCTCACTGTAGGTTTGTTCCTGTACTTCACTTCACTTATGGATCTGGTTTCCTCCAGTTTTCTCTTGTGACGCCATTCTCACTGAGGAAGTGTGTGGGGAGTTTGCTTGCATGGTTCCAATTGTAGGATAAAAAGAATAGTACCTATGATTCTTCCCACATTTGAGGGAGATTTTTTTGAGACAGGGTTTCACTGTGTAGTCCTGGCTGTCCTGGAACTTACTCTGTATACCAGGCTGGCCTCAAACTCACAGAGATCCACATGGCTCTTCTTCCTGAGTGCTGGAATTAAAGGTATATGCCACTTTTAATTTAAAAGACAACTGCCTGGCCTTTCCCATATCTATATACAAGACATTTCACAAAATTTTCATTCAAGAAGAAAGGGTACAAGGCAAGCCCAGCACCCAGTGAGTATTAGAAAGGGATATGATGCTATGTGGTCCCAGTTCTTGGGTTCACCTTGAAAATTGGATCCAATACCACATAATACAAGTTTTGCTCGGTATAAATCTTATGTCAGTGATATACCAAGTACATGACTGCTTTTTTTGCTTCTGGTCCTCAGTGTCCTCAGAAAAAAATAAATATCTTTCTTAAATAATGAGATATAGTACACCTGAAGTTTTTATTGCTAGAATTCTGGACTCTTCATTTTGCATTGGTTCTAATTACTACAAGTGGTTGATTTATTTCATACATTACCCTAAGCACTTTCAACAGCCTTTCAAAAATTATTTGAAAGAATGGGTCAAAGAATATTATTGATCATAGATAGATTATTTTCTTAGGAAGGAGTAAGAAGACTTTTAAAAAATGTTGGTGTGCTCACATATTCATTTGTTTTCCCACTCCAGGTCTTAGGGACATGACTCCAGCTATATTCCTGACAATCTTATGCTTGGGAGTGGCCTCAGCTGCTCCAGCGCTTGATCTCAGTTTGGATGATGAATGGCAAGAATGGAAGACGAAATATGAAAAATCATACAGTAGTCTGGTTGGTAAACTGGAAATTGTCCAGAAGAACCCCAGGATGAATTGACATTGCTGTTGAAAGTGTCTAGGCACATTAGAAATCATAGACCTCATCCTTCCCTGAAAAATTATATAATCACAATTCTTGTGAGCACAGGGTGGCCAAATTCTCTTTTCCTCCATATGTGCCGAATGTGTGACTGTTGTGTCTGTAGTTCCTTCTCATTGACCTCTGTTCACCTACAACAGCAAGTCCACTCGGTCAGATTTTTCCAGGGTTTAGTTATAAAGAACTGTCATTAATTATGCTCACTTCTAGGAAGAAGAAGCACAGAAGAGAGCAGTATGGGAAGAAAATATGAAGATTATCAAAATGCATAATGGGGAGAATGGCCTGGGGAAGAACGGCTTCACCATGGAAATGAACGCCTTTGGTGACATGGTGAGTGTGACATGCATTGCTGCCCACAGTGTTTTCTTCAGTTCTTTACATGGGGTCTTTTTTGTTTCGTTTTTTCATATGTTGTTCCGCTTGTTTGTTTTTGCTTTGTTTTTTATTATTTCTATTTTTCTTGAAGACCCATAAAGAATACAGAAAAATGATGACTGATATTCCAGTTCCAGCTGCCATGTATGAGGAAAGTGACCAAGGAGGTCTTAGCGATTTCCCCAAATTTAAGGACTGGAGAAGGGAAGGCTATGTGACTCCTGTACGGAACCAGGTAAGACATCAGCCCATGCCTGTATTCTTAAACCACTTTTAAGACAACATACGTGATGTCTGTGGGTATATTAAATATGGAGCAATGTGCAGTTTGTTCTTTCTTTTATGAAAGCTTCATACACTTATACAACAGTTATTTATCCTAGAAATTCACCACACACACTCTTTTTACAACTATTGTCCTCTACTGTGTCTGTTTCTGGAATTTATTTCTTCTTTTGTTGTTGTTGATAACCCATAAAACCAGTAGGTTTTGCTCAAATGTCCATGTGTGTGTAGCCATTGACCAGGACATGTGTTAGCTACAAGTAGTCATGTTCTCTAGGAGAGTACCATCCCTCCCTAGGCATCTATTAACTACTAGTACATCGTTTTCATAATATATTACCTGTCTATGTCATTGCCGGGGTTGGTCTTTGTTTGTGTATTGACAATTTCACTTCCCTGTTCAGGGTGACTGCGGTTCTTGCTGGGCTTTTGCTGCAGCTGGTGCCATAGAAGGACAGATGTTCTGGAGAACTGGCAACCTGACCCCTCTAAGTGTGCAGAACCTACTGGACTGTTCTAAACCTCAAGGCAATGATGGCTGCCAAGATGGTACTGCATACAAAGCCTTCCAATATGTTCTCCGCAATAAAGGTCTCGAGGCTGAGGCAACCTATCCATACGAGGGAAGAGTAAGTGGACTTTTTATACCACTATCATTTCAGCCAGCTTCAGACAAGGGACAACTGCAGAAATAATCCATGGTCTTCAGAACTCATGTTGGAAGGTAGACTCAATGTACACCAGCAGCGGTCTCATGAGAGCATCAGTTCTTTCCACAAGTTTCTAATGTGATGGTTTCCATGTAGCTGTTCCTGTGCTATGCACACAGAGAGTATGCAAACTCTTCCACATGTAATGGAGGTTTCTTACAGACATAAAGACCTATGAGGTTTTATTAAAGATATGGTAGCTGATTTTCAGTTCCAAATCTCCCAGTAGTATTTCATTCCTGGGATGATTTATAACAGTCCAGACATGGGGATGCTCAGTCGCAAAGTGCAGAGTTGTGTTCTGATGCATGTTCCTTAAAAGAGGTGTGTGAAAATAACTTAGTCTCTTACCCTTTATCTTTTAAGGATGGACCCTGCAGGTACAATCCTAAGAATTCTAAAGCTTATATCACAGAACTTGTGACCCTCCCACCACATGAAAAGTACCTACTGGTGGCTGTAGCGTCTATAGGACCCGTCTCTGCTGCAATTGATGCTTCCCATGATTCTTTCAGGTTCTACAGTGGAGGTAAGTGTAGTTCCCTCTAGATAAGAAAAAAGAAACGTGACGTGGCCATGCCAGGTTCATGAAAGGCTGTTAATCTAGAAAATTGTGTGTGACTTTGGGTTTTTAATCTTTCCTCCCCACACAATAATACTGAGCTCCATCATCAGCAGATAGGACCCTTTCATGCAAGTAAGTGCTTCATATTTCAAAAAAAATCATTTAGCTATTTTTAAACTAACCTCAATTTGGTGGGTGTTTTAGGTTTTTGTGGAGACTGTTTTTCTGAAATCAAATTATTAATAAGCCTCTTGATTTAAGTAATTTCTATTCAGTGAGTTTTAATTTACATGAGCTTCTAGCATAGAAATTAAAGATTATAATTAGCCATCTTAGAGGCACCTAGGCAATTGTTTATCAAAAATCTGTGCTTATTTTGTTTTTTCAGTTTTCTGTAAAACTATATATATATAGTATATATGCATATTTACATATATCTGTATATATGTATGTATGTATTCTCAGTAACAAGTCAGTCAACTCATGTCTGTCTGTAGTTTACATCGTTCCTGGGGTCTTTGAAAATGACTCCCTACTGTTGGTGGCTGTGGTCACTGTCGGGTGTCCTGTGCATCTCACATCAGTTTCTCTGTTTTTTCCCAGGCATTTATCACGAGCCAAACTGCAGCAGTTACGTAACGAATCATGGAGTTCTGGTGGTTGGCTATGGATTTGAGGGAAATGAAACAGATGGTAATAACTACTGGCTGATCAAGAACAGGTATCAATTGCCATAAGAAAATCTATATTTGAAATTCTAGTATTGGAGAGACAATTCAGTGATTAAGAGCACTAGGTGCCCTTCCAAAAGAATTTCAAAGGGATTATCTCTTAAAGTCAGTGTTTAAGTACACAACCTAGAAAACTTTGTCCCACTTAGGTCAAACAAAATCTGTTTTATTTTACTATGTACATATGTGAGGTATATGTACATGCATGTCTGCATGTGTAAGAGCACCTGTTTATGCACATGTGTAGAGGCCTGATGCCAACATCAGTTCTTTCTCAATCACTATCCAAGTTCTGCACTGAGTCAGTGCCCCTCACTGATCAAGGAGTTCACTGTCTAGTCTGGCTAGCCACTCGTTCTAGTATGTCCTGTGTCCTCTGAGCTCCCATAATGTTTTATCATAACATTTCCGTACCATCAGTGGTTTCTTGGGTGTCAATGTTATTTTGTGCATTGTTTTGTCTAAAATCGGACACATTTATTAGGCTTGAACTACCCTTCCTCTGCTGCTGTCTTCCCTGTCCTGTATGAGGTGCCTCCTGGTACTCAGGGGTAGACCCTCAACTTTTCCTGATCCTTCTGTTAGGTTGGCCTCTTGTCAGTTACTATAAGAAATCAATCATGCATTGATAAATGAAACATGTGTTTCCTTCCAGCTGGGGAGAAAATTGGGGCATAAATGGCTACATGAAGATTGCCAAAGATCGCAACAACCACTGTTCAATTGCTTCACACGCCAGCTTCCCCAATATATTCTGAACTCCTGGTGGCCGTAAGGGAGGACTTGGCAGAGACAGCATTCAATGGAGTGCTTTCCACTTCCCAGTGACCAGCCTTCGCTGAGTGTGTTCAACAGTTGAGTTCCTGAAGAGGTCCATTGCACTGTGAATTCTGGGACCTGCTCACTCTATCTCAAAAGGGCAACTTTGTGCCTGATGGGTCTTTATGACACTTGCAGCAACTTGACTTTCACTTTTAATGGTTATACAAATGGTGTCTTTAAAAATAATGAATTCAAATATAGTTTCTAGCATCTCTCTGTTTTGTGAAATGATTTCCTTTTTGTGATCAAACATGGAATTTATCTAGATGACAACATTGAGTGTGCTGGTGGCATTCTAGGAGAAAGAGAAAGTGGCTCTTTTGTGATGGCCTTTATTCCATTTGGGTTATGGTCTGCTTACAGGGTTTTATACACTAGCAACCATTTTCCAAAAGACTTTATAAACATTTCTGGATTTGATATTTTTAACCAACATTAATTTACCATTATGTTCTCTGTGAAGTGTGATGGCACAATGTACTGCCCGACTGAATTGAATGGAGCTGTGACTCTCCCTTGTCCAGCACCTCAACCCTGTACTAGATTCCCAGTTACTGTGCCAGAGACATTAAGGTCACCACGCCTGCACTTACAGGATTGTGGTTCAGGTGACACTTCCAGAATCTTCAGTTCTTCAACATACAAGAGTAACAAGAGAGGTTTTCAATACAGTCCATCACAGACATTGCCCTATTCTATTACGAGTTACTGAGCTTATTGCCTGATGCACTGACCTTTACCTTAGCCATGCAAGTATGGAAAATAGTGTATGTATGTCTGTACATATGTATATTCACATATATTCATATACAACTTTGTATACAGGTCTCAAACAGTGAGTGCTATTCTTACCCTATACCCTAGTGGACAGTGAAACACTGGCCTATGCAGATTTATCCCAGTTTCTCACAGCCAGTGTCTTCCATAACCCTTTATTGGAATTAAAATTAATTAAAAGTTGTAGTGGCAAATGTGTTTTCTAAATTGTTTTGCTTTTGAATTTCATTTAAACCTTTTATATAACTGAGTATTTGTCCTTTTGGGAATACATATTGAATTCATTTTACATCTACAATATGCACTGAATTGACACAATCAGTGTAATTGCTGTTGAAGCATACTCAAAATATACTCAAAGTATTTTATGTGTCTTCAAAACCTTCCTGTAGACATCTGGAAGTTTCTAGTGACTAGCAGTACAGGTGGCTAGACTACTCTCCCTTTGCTTGGATTTACCAAACATCATCCACCTTATCCTTGTCTTCCCTTCCCCTTTACTCCCAAAGTTTCAGTGAATCTTTTTCAGGCCCTATTTGACTCTCTTCTTCTAAACATCTGGTCTTTTTTATCTTGAGTGAAAATAGTGAAGTTTTATTGTTGCTGGGATTGCATGCATAAGACTTGCAGAAGATCCAGCCAGCCAAGATCCCAATGTGGATGGGAGAGGCTCCAATAAATTTCCACCCCTATCCAAGTAGCTATTGACCATTGATGGTTTATGTTGAACGGGGGAATCACATTTGTTCAGAGAAGTGAGCTCTGAGAGGCTATCTACACTCCACATGCAATAAGTGAACCCAGTGGGTAATAGAAACCTTTAAAAATTAAGTATAACAGATGAAGTTTGGAAGAAAAGGAACTAAGGAAGATGTGAAAGGATGGGAAAGTAAGAAATGATTGAGCCAATTTGATCAAAACACATCACATGCATGTATAGAAAGAGAATCTTTAAACAGAAACTTTTAAAATATGAAAAATCAGTGAATCCAAAATTCATTCTTTTAAAAATAAATTTGGTAAATCTTTAGACAAATTAAATAGAATGAGAGAAGACTCAAATTAATAAAATTGAAAACAAAACAGGAGACATTACAGCAAATATATAAAACCCAGAACAATCATAAGCACATATTTTTAAAATCTCTATTTTATTAAATGAAAAAATACAAAAAATGAATAAATATCAAGATGTAAGCCAAACCTAAATCAAGATGATATGAATGATTAAACAGAGCTAGCAATGAGGATGAAGCAGCAATAAACATTTAATGAAAATAAGTTTAGTCTATGACCCCACACAAATACCTAAGACCAGATGGACTCACTGCAGACTTGACAAGCACTTTAGAGAATGCTAATATTATTCATTACTACAACAACGAAAACTTTTTATTTTTTTTTCTTTTTTAAAATTGAATATAATTACATCACTTATTCCCTTCCCTTTACTCCTTCAACTCCCACGTCCTTCACCCACTCACTCCCTCTCAAATTCAAACCCTTAGCTTCTTAATTGCCAAAATATTTATGAAACCAGTATTATCCTGGTATCAAATCAGGTCCAGATTCAACAATAATAACCTCAGTAGCAAAAATCAGAAACTCATCTCTGTCTCTTTTTAAATTAATTTTAGAAAAACTATCTTTTCTAATTTTACATGCCAAATCCAGTTTCCACTCCCTCCCCTTCTCCTGCTCCCTCCACCTTTCCCCCATTCCAGCCCTCATTTACTCAGAGGGGGTAAAGCTTCTAATGGGGAGTCAACAAAGTCTAGCACATTGCTTTGAGGCAGGACCAAAGTCTTCCCCACTATATCTAGGCTGAACAAGGTATCCCACCAGATAGAGAGTGGGTTCCTAAAAGCCAGAACAAGCAGTAGAGATAAATTCTGGTCTCACTGTCAGTGGCCCCACAGTCTTCCCCAGCCATACAACTGTCACCTACATTCAGAGGGCCTAGTGTGGTTCTGTGCTGGCTCCCTCACTGTCAGAACAGAGCTGGTAAGCTTCCATTAGCTCGGGTAAGCTGTTTCAGTGGGTATCCCCATTATGTTCTTGTATGGTGGCTTCTCAGAAAATTGAGAATCAACTTACCATGGGTGAAAGATACCCATAGGGCAGCCTGAGTTCTCATGACCTGGCCTGCATGAAGGCATCCGCAGGTCTGCATGATGTCATGTGGCTCAGGAAAAAAAAAGACACTCATGGGGCAACCTGGTCCTCACAGTCTGGCCTAACTGAAGATATCCACAGGCCATGATGATGAGCAAGTATATTGTGGAGAAATGGGAAAGAAAAAGATGTAGGATTGATGTGGGATCCCCCTCTGTACACTGTGAGTATGTTTTATTATCATTGGTTAATAAAGAATCTCCTTTGGGCCTATCACAGGGCACAATATAGTCATGTGGGAAATCTAATATATAAAGAGAGTAGGTGGAGTTAGGGAGATGCCATGTAGCTGCCCAAGGAGATAGACACCTTGGAACCTTGCCAGTAAACTATGAGCCTCATAATAATACACAGAATAATAGAAATGGATTGATTTAAGATGTAAGAGCTAGCTAGAGATATGCTTAAACTATTGGCCAAACAATGTTGTAATTAATATAGTTTCTATGTTATTTTGGGTCTGGATGGCCAGGAAGCAAACAATCTCTGCCTACAGAATGGCACACCAAAATCCACATAAAACCTGAGAGAGCTTGCAAGAGAATTCTAGACACACACACACACACACACACACACACAGAGAGAGAGAGAGAGAGAGAGAGAGAGAGAGAGAGAGAGAGAGAGAGAGAGTTTAGCACAGCTTCTTGGTAGCCACAATTTTCTTTTTTGGATGGTCTCTATTTGCTGGTGGTAAGCAGGGGCATTGAGGCTCCTTTAAGAGAAGGCTTACTGACTCATCATAAGAAATGGTAGCCTCCTGGTTTATGCTGGCAGCAAGAACTCTTTCAGGAGGCTGAGCACTTGAATGGGGTTTGTGAGCAGAGTGCTGTAACTTGCTTAATGGCAACATAGATCCACTGTGTGGTTGACTGTGGTTTCTGTCCTGCCTGATTCTCACAGTTGTTAATTCCCAAAGAAATCAAACAGAGGTCTACATTAGTTATAAACTCATTGGCCCATTAGCTCAGGCTTCTTATTAACTTTGTTAATCATTAAAAGAGAATCATTGGTTTTGGAGGTGAAGATGCTATGGTGGGAAAATCAATACAAAGGAAAATGTTCTACAAGTTTTGGGCTTGTAAGAAAAACATGTAACTTGTGATCATAATGTGATCTTAATTTGTTTTTGGAAAATATGTAACTTGTGGTTGTGAGGTCATCTTTTCTTAAATAGAAATTCTTGTTTTAGGTGGTACAAAAGGGAAAAGAGGAAAATAAAGATAAGGAGAAAGAGAAAAAGGAGGAAAAAATAAAATGAAGATTTAAGATTTGCCCCCCTTGGATAAGTCTCCCGTGTGTGATTTTAGTATTCACCAACTCCGCCTCTCCACTCCAGTTTGTCTGACCTGCTGAAGCTGGATCATCAGCATTTTATGAGTGGTATTAAGTTGGCAGCACAGCTGAGGGGAGCTGGACTTCTTTTAATGAAGTTTGCTTCTATAGTTTCTGCTTGAATTCCTAAATTTTTCATCTGCAGAATTCCTTGGTTTGTATTTTCTTGGTTGATTCTATTTCCATTTTCAATTTTGAACAGTTTTATTCATTTTTTCTACTGTTTTTGTTGTTATTGATTCTGTAAGCTACATGACCAAGGAACTCAGACCTAACCTTGGGTGTTGGGACATTACTGCTTTATATGATCATCAGTCTGTTTTTCCACATGTAAAATGCACGGGTCTAAAATGCATGAAAATTCCTTGTTCTTAGTTTTTATCCTCAGAAAATATCACATCTATTAAAACGAAGGGTGTCTTATTTCTGTCTTTTGCATCTCTCATTCAAGCAATTGTCAGAGCAGCCTAAGCCATTTCCCTAATCGTCTTCACTGTTCTAACCACCTGTATCTTGTAGGCTGACTTAAAAGGTTCAATTAAATCATTGACACAACTAAGCATCATTGTTCTTATAAAAATCATCTTCATTACGATCTGAGGGTAAAATCCCAGTGAGATGTGGGATTTTCCCACAAAACAATCACATTACACTAGATACAGTGGGATCCTCCGCCACACTAATCACACCACGCCAAACACAGTAAGAACGTGATAGCAGCAATCAGGAGACAGCAGCACAGGAAGAGCAAGGGCATTCTGGAGAAAATCCCCCTGGGGTTTGCCTCTCCAGTGTGTACCATCATAGCTTTGCTATCTGGTGGATGGCCATTGCTGACTGCAGCTCCTCCAGTATTGCCATCGCCAATAAAAGTCTATAGGGACCTGATTCATAGTTCCCTACCTGAGAGTTAATGATCCATTCCAGTCAGTACTCTCCTAATATCCAATAGACCACAGAGAGTTCAAGAAGATGATTATAATTCTTTAAAAATTTTATACATTCATAAAATGAAACATGATTATATCTTTCCCCATTTCCTTCCCAACTTTTCCCAAGCCTCCCATTATTCTCCTTCCCTATTGCATTTTTATAACTTTTTTAATTTGTCTGTGTCTCTGTGTCTCTTTGTATGTCCTGTATCTGTGTGTGCATAAACATCCCACTGTGTGTGTGTGGAGTTTAGAAGACAGTTTGTGAGAGTTGATTCTATCATGTGAGCCCCAGGGAGTGAACTTAGATCATCAGTCAGGGATCAAGTATCTTTATCTTCTGAGCCATCTCACTGGTCTCAACGTTTTCTGTTGCAAAATAAAATAGAAATAGAACTCCCCAAGCAGTAGTAATACAACAAAAGAAATCTCAGAAGTGAAGTTTATATCAATAATCAGATAACAAAATAGAAAGCTCTCAAGTAACTATTGTTACTTCATTAAAAAATTAGACAAGCAGGACAAAGGATATGTGTATATTATGAATATGATGTATACAATGTATGTTTTATACATATGGTACATGTGTATATGATGTTATGTGTATATGGTGTATAGTATCAATAAACGAGTATTTGATTTCTTTGAAAAATAAATAAGTATATCTTTATGTAGATAATCCAATTAAAAAAAAGAAGGAA